TCTTAGATTATCTCAAATAAATAGGATTTTCTCAGATAAACTAGGATTATCTCACTATATTGCATTAAGCTCAGATAGACCGGGATTATCTCGGAAATTTTCAGCTAATCCCAGTTTTTCTCAAAATTTTCAGATAAACAGGGATTTTTTCTGCTTAATGCATGTTTGAGATAATCCGTACAGAAAAACCCAGATTTTCTTAATTTTCTGAAATAAACCGGGATTTTCTCCAGATAATGAATTTACTTTCATTTTCTGAGATAAAATAGGATTTTCTCAAATTTTAATTAAGCTTAGAAAATCTTAATTTATTTGAGATAAACCGGGATTATCTGAGAAAATCCTAGTTTATCTGAGATAATCTAAGATTAAGAAATACAAGTGGTCAAGTAGCTCAAAATAGTTTTAGATTTTCTACTTTTGAAAAAAATATTTAATTGCATATATATGATATTAGAATATTAATCCTATTTTCACTTTTTATATATTTTTACTTAACTTGAATATCAAAAGTAAATACATATAATCATTTTAACATTTTAAGTTTTTTGAACGTTGAGGCAATAAATCAAAATTTTAACAATCGCAAGGGGATCTTTAACTTTTGAATTTTGACTCTCGAGCTAAAATATTAAAAAAAAAAAAAGAAATTGAATGTTTGATTTTTCAATTGAAATGGCAAATTCTGTAAACTTCATGCCACTTTAAATTGTTAACTGTCGTACGGACATAATATAAGGTAAACAAGAACTTGAATCATGTATAAGATTAGACTTACTTAATTAAATGCCTCTTTCTTTGTAATCTATCATATCCCGACGTTCTTCTAAAGACAGAGCGACGTAACCAATAGACACCGATTATGACGTGTATCCTTTATAACGAAAGAACGTCAGATCACATGACTATCGACTTTTGTAATGACTTTGTTTCTCTGGGGAATTATTTATCACCTTCTTTTCATAACTTTAATCCACAATTAGACTATCTATGTAGATATGATAAAAGACCACTGTTCAAATGTCCATCGCCAAAGGACATATTTTAACTGTCCAAGGTATAAACAGAATATTTTGTATTTCGTGTAGGTATATTATGAACCTTTTGAGTCTGAAATGAATATTATCTTATCTTATATAAAATCCACAAATTGGTGTGCTAAGCATATCCCACTCGTAATTCGAAGTTTCGTAAACAGGATGTAGGTGTCTTTTCGACATATTGAAAACATAAAAATATCGGGGGACATTAGGTATGTGTCGGACAAATTCAAAATGTGCCCACAAAATAGAACTCATCGCATGATCGCTGTCATGCTGCTGACCAAATATATTTTCATTATGTTCTGTAGCCAATAAGGAAAAAATAAGTATTTGTTGGAAGAAAAGACGGACGCACATATGGGATGAATGTAATGTAAGAGTGGGGTATAGTAATAATGTATTCAATTTGTTCTTTTAAACTTTTTCATAAATATCCTACAAAAAATGTAAGTACGAGATTGCTTTACAATGCATTATAGACTATATAATTTCTATTTCCAGAGGATATAGTGACTCCGGTAAAAGAAGTTTATCGGCACTATTTATTGAACTCTTCCAAGGCATTGCTACCATAAACCTTCGATATAAATTTTACATATATAGCTGACAAGAAATAAAGGCGCGAAAGTGTTAACAATGCAACTTTCCATAGACTATACATTTCAAAGGGACATAATCCACTGTAAAAATATTTGATCGGCACACTGATTTTCGACATTGTCCAATACAATGCTGATATAAACCTTTGATATAAATTTGATAAATATCTGATAAAAAATGTACCATTGAGAGCGCTTACAATGCAACTGTTCATATTTTTTTTTTATTTCCAAGAGACATAACCTTTGAAAAAATTGATCTGCGCTGATTTATGGCACTCGTCCGAAACATTGCTGATACAAACCTTTGATATAAATTTCATAAAAATACTTCAAGAACTGTCGGCTTTAGAGCGCTTACAATGCAATTTTCTATATGTGTATTTCCAAGGGCATAATTCTTTTAAAAATAGTTAATCATCGCTGGCTTTCGAACATGTCTGAAGTATTGCTGATATAAACCTTAGTTATAAATTTGTTACAACACTGGACAGATGGACAGGCACACGGAATGACCCCCGGTATTTTTATGGACCCCGCACCGCGTTGCGTGGGAGCAAAATTGAGGAGATGTGGTATGATTGCCAATGAGACATATCTACCAGAGTCCAAAGGACGAGGATGTTAACAACTATGGTTCACTTTCCACAATGAGATTATAATGGCCCGGGATGAAGTTTAATTAATAAATTAGTATATTGAAATTATAATATTGAATATATATGCTAAATCAAATACTTTACATTTAAACTTCAGCCTAACTTAAATGTATGGTCACATACTGTTATAATGACAAGACGATGCATATTTATTTTGACTTCTGATGTCGTAGTAACTAAAACTACGTAGGGACTATAACTCTAGAAACTTACACGGGAATGAAATCAAACTTAAATAAATCATGAGTGGCCAACCCCTATTCATAATAAGTTCACAGAGTCCGCAGACAGGGTCATAGTTATAAAGATAGACTGAAAAGGATGCAGAAAATGGATTTTTCGATGTAAACTCTATAACCTTAAATGAAATTGCAGCGAAATACACACACACCATTCTGATGAATATGTCACCTTTGGTCTAGTTTTTACAGTTTGTTCTAATGCTGTGGTGCTACACCACGGTCCCCGGTTATATTCTTTACGTGCTATTCACAAGTCAGGAGACTGTAATCCAACTCCTTCCAGTATGAGACCATTAATGCCAAAATGTATAGGTAACGGATATCCTCTCGTTGAAAACAATATCGCCTAAAGACACACCCCGTGCATATCCCGAGTTGGAAAGCCTTAACTATGTTTGCATGTACGTAAAAAAATATTAAAAACATTCATCCCAGATATATAGATATATCAAAGGAGCTGATACTAATTTAGTTTTATTGGTAATATATTGTTCAAAAAACGAACGAATATCAATTTTTTTTGTTTTAACTCTTCTTGTTGGTTAAGATTGATAGATGTAGTAATTGGATCTCAGAATGATGTCAGCAGTTATGATTTCATAAATATGATTATTTTGATTTTAGAGATGCTCCTATTTTAATGAATAATTAATTAAGTTAAGCCGTTACATGTGTTGTTTTAAAGTGCAGAAGGCCATAAAATAAAAAAGGGAAATTTATTGCTTGAATATGGGTTTGTTTCACTTCAAAAAGCCATACCTCAAAGGACTCTTCGGAGTTTGCTGAAACGAGACAAAGTTAATATCATATTGTCCCAAGGAAATCGAAATATACTGACTGACTTCTAAAAACGCAACACTCATTTTGTTGATTTTTTGTTATCAAATCATGTTTGATTCTCATACAACTACTATTAATGCTTACCATACTTCTTTCTCTTAAGAAAAAATCAACATCTGACTTACCTGTGGTTATTGAACATACCGGATTTTTGAAGTCGCACGAATTTCTTAAAGCGAAATTTGGAACCCATAAAAAAAATTTTCAGTTTGATTTGCTTCGTGAAACAGTTCTTTCAATCCTTGGCCACACTTAAATCAGTTAAAAAATGTTGCATCTCCATATTGCCAAGACTGAGGAATAAAAAACTGAATCAGCCCATAAGAATACTGCAAACAGGAAAACGTGAACGTGCTGCAACCATAGAGTTTGACTTCATAAACTCGTCTTACTGTCCTTCCGACAACGATACAGGAGGACAGAATGTGTTACTGACCATCAATGACCAGATTAACATGTAGTGACAATGCAACGTCAATAGAATTTGATTACGCAACGTCATTTGCTATGTTTACTGCCGCAACGTCAACTGCTTATCAAATTGCCGAATGCCATTGCGCACAGATTCATGCCATAAACGTTTCCCATAAACTGAACTGCCAAAGAATCGACTGAAGAAAAACATTTAAAGCCCTGAAGTTTCCACCGCATAATTGCCAAAACCCATTGTAATGGGTGGAACAAACGCATATTCAGAAGGTGTAAAACAGAACCCAAAACATGTGGAACAGAATTGGTTGATCTTTCTGACAATCATTTTGGCGCTTGTTACAGGCAGTCATTGCTTTTGACAGTGCCACATCCATTCAAAAATTTAAAAAGAATGATCTAGTGTTGCGTTTCTAAAGTCGGTCAGTATATATATGTGAAAATGTATCAGCCTAAAACAATCCATCAAACATGTACTTCAAAGGTTACGATATGGAAAAGGAAATATGAAAAAAAAATTGTTACCAGTCAAATGAAAAAAGACGGGAAGGGATGGATGATGATGATTCAATTATATCCTGATTGAAGCACAACTTAAATATTTCACTTATTTCCTTCGTTCATTTCAAATCACTACATCAATTTTTCAATGGGCATATTCTCAGACAATATTTTTCTGCACTGTTAATTATATTCTATATGACATCTACTTTAACGTACAGCAGTCGATATTAGAGTATTAAGAGTATGATTTCCTTATCAATAGAACTAGCTTTTAGCACTTTGATACGGTATTGGTAAGTATTGAATTAATGTACATATTTTGTTCAGAAAATTGGTGTTATGTCATTTTGTAACTTTTAGTGTTAATTACATATCATAGATAAATTCTGTTAACAACCTTTTTCTAGACTCAGTGCGAAATTTTTATGTTGTTGAAAACTGTGTGCTGACATCTAGCTATATATAGATGTCTGTTGGTTGTTTTTGTCGTTTTGTTGTTGTCAAAATAATGGACGTACTTCGGCGCGATTGTCTCATTGAGTGATACGCTACATCTCCTTTTATTAATATTGCTGGTAGATCTAAGTTAGGTTTATTCAATTTTTTTAACACTCGGAGTAATTGGGAATTTTATTGCTTTTTGGGATGCTTTCCCGATAACATATTTATAATCAAACTCGTTAATACTTTTAAGCTCTCTACAGTTGAACTACGTTTAATAAATCAAAATAAAAACATTGTATATTATGAAAGTAATTTATAAGTATACTAGTTCACTTATAAGATTGAATTTTTTCATATACAAACAAATTGTTGGTGTAATCTAGTATGAATAATTTTCTTGTAAAGTCACTATAAAGAAAGACACAGGGTTTAACAACAGCTTCAAACCCTGATTCTACGGCTTTATGACGCTTCTTGGAAATACTAACATGCCAAATGCATTCTGCTGTTTCACAAACAATGTAAAGTGTGTCCTTGTCTATTATGGTCATTCCAATTGGTGGGAATGGAAAAGGTTTATCCTCAAAAGTGAAATGTAGTTGACGATCATCACTATAACAAGCAATATATTTGTTTGTATAATTTGTATAGTATAAGTAAGGACTTGAATAGTAAAGACCATCCTCTTTATGAACCTTCATATTCTGCATATGTTCAATAGATTGTTTGTCTCTTATATTTATGAACTTTAATCCTTTGTTTTTACTGTTCATGCAAACAACAACATAATCGTTCGTGGTTACTGAAATAGCATAACACCAAAAGTCAGTATTTATATATCTTACATCATTGTTTCCCCCTTCCATAACATTATGTAATTCTATTCTTATTGTTTCTGGCACAGTTACGGCAATTATCGATTCATTTATCACGGCAAGATCGTGGGACTCACTCTGAAGATCGATTTCCGAGATAAGCATACAATCCAATATGTGGTATTTGAATAGTTTTTTCTTTGAAAGGAAAAGAATAATATTTCCTTGCATTAAAACACCCCTGCTGATAACTGGCAGAGCTGATAACTCGGTTCGTCTGTCGATTTGAAATATTTGTCTACCAACGGGATCCTCAGATGGCAGTGATCCTGTTTAAAGAGAACATCTTATAATCATTTATAAACGAATAAAAGCAAAGAAACACGTTCTGTTAGATTTGTAAAATATAACAGCTACTAGTATTTCAGTTAATATTATCATTTTTCTATTTTTATACTACCACATAATAATTAAATAGGAAAAAAAAACCGCATTAATTCTATTGATACATTTTAAACTTTTAAAAATGCCCTTACTGAAACTGGAACTAGCTGCATTTGTCATTACCTTTGTTCGTTTTTAGATACACCAACGTTCAGTAAGTAAAGATAAAAAATAATTATATTATTAGTACTCTAATTTGATATTGATAGAAAATGAAGAATATGTCAAGGGGAGTGGGGGATTAAAATTCAAAACCCAAGGAGTAACTTAACACATGTCATTTGAATTTGAACATTTTTCGATTGTCTTTCAAAAATGATCCCTGCTAATAACGGAGTCAATTCAATAACTATATAAAATATGCTTAGTATTGTTCCAGAGTTATTCCACAAACAACATTTTCCAACCGCTAATGACAGACAATTTTGTTATATCTTATCTTTCAAGCATGTATACATAAAGAATGAGCTTTATATCAACAAACGTAAACCAAATGACTTATTTAAATTTTATTAGCTCTTTTTGTGTATTTTTGAGATGGAAGCAATATAATGTAGGAATATTCATTCTAGTAATATACAGTCAAACCTGCACAAGAGACCACATGTATTAAGCAAAAACCTGTGTTATAAGACTATTAATTTTAGGTCCCTCTGTAGTGCATTATATATATATTAGTTCATATAGATTGAACCTGTATCAAAAGACCCCCTGTCTTATGAGACCCCTTTTTTGTTCTCCCGTAAGTGGTCTCTAAAAACAGATTTCACTGTACTTCTACTCTGATTGAAAATATCGACGTCAGAGTTTAAGAAAGCCAAATACGTACAATTGTTGCGATAAAAATGTGACAAACATCAAGCTAAAAGTTCCATTTTATTTTAAAAGGAATGAGCAGCTTGGGTATTTCAACAAACATAATTGATAAAATTCTAGCATGTTCATGGTATGATCAGAACGCAACTCTCTCACTAAAAAGCGTTAAACAAGGAAAATGTGGTATGATTTAGACTACGCGGACTGGTTGAAGAGAAAAAAACTAAGTACAAAATACAATAACACTAGTCACATTTAGTACTGATTATAAATTCGCGTTCATTGTTCATTCATATAAATACTTACTTTTATTTCCTGAAAATGGGTTACCTAAATAAAGAAATAAAAAATCGATAGGTCATGTCAGTTATTGAGTAATTATGAAACAATAATTCTCAACAGTGATGTGATGCACGCATAATATACATGTAAAGTAAATAACATTTATGGTGCCGTACAATTTTTTTCTTTCTTTCATGATGAAAAGTAAAGTGCATTTTAAAGTTTTGTTAGTTTTCAATTAAATCTAAACAATGTCAGAAACTCTTCGAAAAGAAAATAGCACATTATAAATTTCATGCGTCCGAAAAATAACCAAAAATTATGTAAGGTCAACTTTGCATGAAGGAGTTGAAACCTTAGCTTCTTTATAATTTCAAAATTTATAACAGACAATTTTAACATGGTTAATTTGTTATAAATCTTGTCAGTACCGAAGTACTGACTACTGAGATGATGAAACTCTCCGAGACTGATAGTCCAACAGCAGAGGTATCGACCCAGTGCTGTAAAAAATGAAAACAACACGTTATAAATTTCATGCGTCCGAAGCGCTTTTCTGGATTCATCAGGAATTCCAAATCCGAACATTTGAAAGCCAAGGATTTATAAGAACCGAAACAGTTGAAGAGCTATGTAACCAAAAAGGACCTAGATAAAAATAGCCAAATCCATCTAAGGTAAAATTTGCCTGAGGGAGTTGAAACCTTAGCTTCTTTATAATTTCAAAATTTATAAACGGACAATTTTAACAAGATTTGTTATAAATCATGTCAGTATCGTTCGGTACTGCGAAGTTGATGATACCCTCGGGACTGATTGTTGAGAACCGTAATGAAATAAATAAATAACATAACGACATAATCACAACTGTTAGTAATTGTATGCAGAGCTGTTTTTCCAATTTCGACCTGCGATATTTGATACGCTCTCCATGAGAAGACTGTTGATTAAAAACTGTCAAGATAACATTATTATAATAATGAAATAAAAATATTGATTGATTGTTGTTTACCTCCAAGAGGCATATTTTACATGTACATAAGAGATCAAAAACAACTTTTAAGTCGACCAGGGTGAATGACAGTTGATTTAAACAGCAACTGGAAAAAAGAGGTGAAAAAGTAAAAAAATGTTGGCCTGTAACAAGACACGTGGCCCGAGAACACAGTTATTTCGTAGTGCATTTGTTTTAGACAATAAATTCAAATAAAAAAAATCGCACCTGCTCTATCTCAAAATTTGTAAGTTATACACTGTCCACACTAGGGACTATATTTGTAGACACCGAAAATCTAAGGACGATAACTGTGTCCTCGGACCACGTGTGGACCAAAAGAGTTGTTGAAAGGCTTCTACCATTTAAGGTCAAGGCTACTTTTACGTGAAGAGAGCAAAAGGTATGCTTCATAAACGGGTCGATTACATGTCTAAATTTCGTCCTGATGTGGCTACAAATGTATAAAACCTACATAGTCAACAAACGCCCTCTCAGCACGGATGTGACTGCCGAAGGGTAGAAGTAAAAGTCACCATTATGATATACATCAGTAACATAAGCCTAGTTGGCCGATTGGTCTAGGGTATTGGATACAGGGCTGGCGGAGTTGCCATGATATCATCGAAACATGTGTTATCCGATTTTTAAATCTCATAAATCATTTAAGAAGACAAATAATGGTTATAACCAAAATCTGAGGGAATCGCATGAACTCCGGAAGGAGCGAGACCGGATGCGTCGACAAGGTTTTAAGCGTCGCCTGCTATGCATGCATCACCTGCCATGCCGATCCACACTTAAACTTATATTTAGAATGAGGAATATTAATGTGAATAGAATAGAATAGAAATGTTTTCAGACAATTGCATGAGGAGAGGGACTTTGATTGAAAGTTTTCTAACATATTCTTTTAATTCACGTCTGAATCACGTCACCTAGAGTCGATTGTTTAACAGTAACTCTGAAGTCCGGTTTTAATTGCTGATGAAATAATTATATTTTAATAATTTAGGAAGATGTTTCATGCCAAATCACGAGTTGAAAATAAAATTAAAAAAAAAACGACAAAAAGACGATACCCTCATCTCAAAGTCGTGGGTAAAACAAAGTAAATGATACCGAGACACCCATGGGCATGTGCATCAATAGTCTGCACTAAGAGGACGTTGATTTCGGTCAAATAGCTCCTAACGATTTTTAGTATTTATACTTTCTAAAATTTAAGTTGAGCATACCTGATGAAGGAATATCCAGAATAGCGCCACGGTCGCATGAAATTAATAAAGTGATACTTTCATTCTTTCAGACGATCTGCATTATCTCATTTCAATAATGTTTTTTTGTTTTGATACTTTTTGTCACTTTTCGACAAGGTTTCACTCATTTGAGTTCAGGATTTGTTTCCATCTTGTGTCTATTGTTATCTATGAACACCAGATAGAAGACAATTTTTCAAGTTAATGCATCCAGTGAAGGGAGTTGTTGATTCCTCCCCGACTTGGTAAAACCCAAGACTTTAATCTAAAGATTAGAAGATACAGTTTTATTGCCAATGAGATAACTATCCGTGAAGCAAAGGACAAAGATATGAATAATTACAGGTCACAATACAGCCTTCAATAACGAGCAAAACCGATATCATAAGAAAAAGAAAGAAAGCCAACGGCCAACGGTACTATACTATAAAAAAGGACAAACAACAAATTTGAATCAAATATTACAGACAGCAACCAGCGACAACCACGGACTGCAGGGTTTTCTATAAGAACAGACACACATAATTTGGCGGAGTTTAACATGTTTGTACGCGCTTATCCCTCTCCATACCCAATCTGTTTTTGACATATAAGTTTTTTTGTAAATGTTCGATAAATTAATTTGAAGACTTTGAAATTTTGAAGTTTATGAATTATAACACTATTGTAAGAATTGCTTATGAATAAATATATGAAAAGATTAGGCTGTTTTGATATAGACGACTCAATTAATCAATCTTCTTCACAAAACATTACGTTAACAAAATATAAGACATACTCACCTAACACTGTTATATAGGCTTTCATGTTGGTTGCTCCGAATTCATTACATGCTTCACACATGTATATACCATTGTGCCTGTCCTGTAGCTTTGGAATTTTTAAAATGCGAGTGCCATCTGTATGATTAACTACACGATAATACGTTGGATCGGAGTCATAGATAAGTTGGCCATTGAAGTACCACTCAACTCTCTGTTTTACGTTTTCTGTACGACAAATCAGTTGTACCGTTTCATTTAACTTTCCAGTGGTGTTTGTGATCTCTGCTGTAAATGTTGGCTTATTTCCAGCTATCTTGGCGCTTTGCTTCTTTTCTGAAGTTTTCTCTGTTTTGCTGTCAGCATGAATTTCCTCCTCTTTCTTTAGATCCAGATAAACACTTCTTTCTTCTTCAAAATTGTTTGTATTTTGCCTGTTTGTACTATCTATTTTCAGTTGATTTGAGCTATTGTTTTGAGTAGTTCTGTTATCGAATACGGTTTTGTCATAGGAATCATCGTGTCTACTTTGATTGTTAGTAGGTTGGGGTAATGCTTGGTCATGTTGTGAATTTTCCCTTTCTGAATCCTCGGTTTCTGTTTGTTCGTTGTCATCACTTGATTCTAGAGTATACTTGTTTTGTTCTTGTTGATTTCTTGTTTTGTCTTTATTGAGAAACCCTATTGGCTCTTTACTATCTGGATCCTCTGGTTCTATTTGTTCGTTGTGATCCTTTGTTTCAAAATAATTCTGCATTCTTCCTTGTTGAGCTATTGGTTCTTGGACTTCGGGAAACAGTTGATGAAATTGCGGAAAAGCTGTGAAGTAAAAACTAAATTCTATAAAAGATGTGGTGGACAATAAAAAAAAGACATCTAATGGCATGAAAAGGATGAGCAATCGGTTTTATGCATGATTCAGTAAATCATTTTTTTAATGTCACAGCCTTAATTCCCTCCCTTTGCGAAAGCGGCTTATTAATGGATTTTGATCGGTCGTGAGCAAGATGACTGGTACAACAAGTAAAATAGGAACTGTTTAACCTTCCAAAATCACATGGGTTAATTCACTTGTTTAAGGGTTAGTTTTCATCTTTAGGTTGCTGTATAGTATTTTATGTGCAGTAGAGAAGGTTTTGTGACGTTTACATCACTTTTGTGAGAGAAAACTGGGTTAGAATGACATATAAACAATTGAAAAACATGAAAAATGCCTCCATAATTTCCCTTGTACACAGCTGTCTAATTTTAAATTCATTGTAACCATCTGCATCCTGATTGTACATGTACAAAAACTGTATAACCATTCAATATGACAATAGTCAAGCAATGTGAGTCAGATTACCTTCCGTAAGTCACCTACTGCCAACATTCTGAATATCTTATCTACCAAAGAATTAAATGCAAAATGAAGGTTATATAAATTTGGTCTCGAAATAGACCAAATATGAATCTTTTCACAAAATTTTATTCGTTCAAATGCTTTGGTATATGTATTTATTGAACAGCAACGTAGCCTTTTTGTATTGTGAACGGTAGTAAGTTAATTAGATGTTGTTTGAATACATCGAAAATTTAGAAAGATCTTTAGTAACCGAGGCGGACTAGACGGCAAGCAGAATGAACCTCCATCGCTTGGGAAATATATATCTAATGGAGAACGAGTCATGACTTTTCTTTTGGCAACGGAAATAGTGCTTTATATGTAGTTTTCATAAACGCAAGTGGTTGTGCAGTTATTTTGTAAGACACCTATCAATTTTTATTTTCAAATTAAAACTGTCTAAAATTAATGAAAATTAAAGATATTTTAATATTATAGAAATAAAGATCCACATGATGATGGTGTATTAAAACTTTTGGATGTATGACTTCAAATGTACCACTTCGAACCCTTAATTCAACATATTCCGTGTAAGCAGTAATAATCTACAAAGGAAAGCATGATAAGAATTGAAAGCCCTGAAACATCGTATCAACTGTTCGATGTATACTCAATATACAGGCGCTGAGTTATATAGATCACCAACTGGCATATGATATCAACTGCAATATCGTAAGACATAGGACATAAAAAGTTTCTTTATGAGGTGTTTCATTATAAAACATAATGTTATTTAGGAGAATCAATCCATCATGCTAAAATTTATTTCACACTTACCACGTTTCGTTTCTTCCTCATCCATGATAATATTAATATCAAGTTGCTCATCTGGAGCTCGGATACCAGACAGTGTGACTAATTCATGAATAAATCTTCTTATTTCCTTTTGTAAACAACCAGCCTTTGTCATGATAATTTTCCAAATTGTAGCTAAAATTTCAACATCTTCTGTCGAAAAAGATGTAATCTTAATTGGCATATCAGAGGTGTACTGTTCACACATGACCTCTATAGAATCTACAAGTTTTGCTGTATCCCAGTCCGGTGGTACCTGAATTTGCATAAATACCGGAACTGTCTTAGATCCTGAAACAATGTTAATTGCGACAGTTAATAAAAAAAATCAACAAACCCTAAAAAATCACCCGTACAAAGCAAGACCAAAACAGATGAACAAACAAAACATGAAAAGTTTTGAAATAACGTAAAAAAAGTTGGTACAAACATATTTAAACTAAATATTCTGGAAAATTATGTTATATGACCTAAAGAAAAAGGTTCTTTGACCTATACTAAAATCTTTTAAACCACATTTTTATATTCCAGAAGGGTTGGTTATTGATACATTTATATTTATACAATTAAAACTAAATTTTCTAAAAGATCCATTGAGTAAAGTATTTTAATTTACAGGATGTTCTCTAAAAGGCCATGATCCTGAATACTGACCACCAGTGTCACTGTTGTTTAAGTGTGTACTCTCTATAACTGTTCGAACAGTTGCATTACCACATACATTTACTATAATGTCGTCTACCACTGAACATAAGCAACCTAGATATTGAAGTAATAAATGAATGAATATAAGTATTATATTATACATAAAAAACTTTCATAGAAATATCTTCATTTGTCAAACTCAGCACCGAATAAGATTGTAGCGCATTAATTAAAGTTATAGTGATAAATTTTGTTTCTATGTATTATTTCGATAGGCACAAAGACATGAAATGCGTCAGTTGTTTTCAAAATTTGTTCAACAGAGTGACACATTCCATTTTTAGTCAACACTGGACGGTCAACAAACAACAAACAATAGATTAATCAATCAATTAGTCGCAAGTTCATCACCGCAATATATTGTAAATTTTCATTTAGGTTTTATTTCTTGGTTTCTTTTTTTTATTCATAATAAAGTGATACTGTAATGATTTACAGTAGACTCAAGTAAAATAATAAATTTTGTAAAAGGTTTCTGGTGCTGCAACTAAATGATTTCCTTAATGCTTTTAGATTTATAACTGACGAAAAAAGGTAAGCAAAGAGGAGATGAATAAAACAATTCGTAATTGGTCAAGTAATTATTAGGCGTTGACAGGGAATTTGTGCATACCAACGTATCAAGCAAAAACATACAGGATTATCTTAGAATACACGTTATAAGAAAGAAATTGCTTTCCGAGGTGTAAACAGGGAAAAACTGGTAACGTACGCTCACACGTACTTGTATGATAGATCACTGTATAACATTAATATTTGCTGCACTAAGATCACTGAATTACAATAACATTTTCTGTACTAAACAAAGTTACCAAACATGTCAAAGTCACAAAATTAATTACTAATCTTAAAATATGTACCGATATAACATGTTACTTTTATTATTCTTCCCTTAGTTTATTTATTTTGTATTCAAAATTATTTATTTTGTAAAAATATTTCCTTTCTCTATTGGTACTGTACAGGTATACCTAACAACACAATTATTTTCATTTACCTGTGTTTAAAGTTATTGCAAATGGATGGTATTTTTGTTCGAGCATATTGTTTTTCTTTAATTGTTTAACATTTCTTACCGATATAACATGTTACTTTTATTATTCTTCCCTTAGTTTATTTATTTTGTATTTACATTGTGTCATAGGTCAAATTTATTTGTTCGGTGTATGTTCAACGGTGTTAATATGTCCTTTGATTGAGTTAAGCTATTTCAATTGATATTTTATAGTGTGTCTTTCTATGTTGTGATGTTACACTATTGTTTCAGAAAAAGGGTGAAGGTTTGGTACCATTAAAACGTTTAAACCCGCTGCATTTGTTTGCACCTGTCCTAAGTCAGGAATCTGATGTTCAGTAGTTGTCGTTTGTTGATGTGGTTCATAAGTGTTTCTCGTTTCTCGTTTTTTATATAGATTAGACCGTTGGTTTTCCCGTTTGAATGGTTTTACACTAGTAATTTTTTGGGGCCCTTTATAGCTTACTGTTCGGTGTGAGCCAAGGCTCCGTGTTGAAGACCGTACTGTGACCTATAATGGTTTACTTTTATAAATTTTGACTTGGATGGAGAGTTGTCTCATTGGCACTCATACCACATCTCCTTATATCTACAGAACACTGTTGACCTATTTTTTTTTTTCAAATTCCCGTTGCAAGTGAGAAAGTGGGACGTTTTTAGTTTAAATAAGACGCAAACAATTGTCATTTCAATTCAAGTATGTTTATCTTTATGTTTTAAAAGCAAATCTCAAATTAAAATGATATGCAACCAATCTTGCAAAGTTTGTAATAATATATGGTACTTCAAAATGTGTTTTTTTTTTTAATTTGTCTTCTACGCACCTACCTTATATTCATATTCTTCTGCTCACTTCATGCAGTACAAATAAGAAATCAAACACAAAAAATATCATTCGAACGGAGGATAAACAAAGCCATGGCAAAAAACGGAAGAACTAACGACGGTCTACTACATAACAAAATTAAAGACTTTAGCAACAGAAATCCCAACAAAAAAAAGAGCAGTAGTTTACAGATGTTCAAATTTCACCAATCACTTAAGAAGACAAATCAAGGTAACAAACAAAAACCGAGGAAAAACTGTTGTGTTTCTCATGGCCATTAAAATCAACTTAGTGATGAACGAAGGAAGATATAAAACGAGATAATGGCTACGGCTACTGGATCATATCCGCAGTCGTCTGTGACACAAATATTCCATAAGGGTCATGAAGATACTGAAGGAAATAACAACGAACACATGAACATTCCTTAATTTCATTACTGCTTAAACATGTATATAACTTCTATTTTGTTTTATATAATACAAATATTAAAATAAAAGTAAAAATGTAAAACGCATTGGACATAGTGTTGTTATACATGCGATAAAATACAATTAATTACTCGACTTGTTATAATGTTTCCCGATACCTTGCTGGTATCACTGTTCATGAGTTGCTTAAAAATCAATAATCTATTGAGTTGACAAAATCATTTTCAATGTGAAACAGAAGAACATAATAATCCTATTTATGTGTAGCAAAATTCTAGCAATCCTCAATATGGAGAATATATTGCCCAGTTAACACGATATTCTAGGGCTTGGGTTTCCTATCATTATTTACTTGAAAGGGTTTTTTTTGCTTACAATGACGCTGTTGCATCAAGGGTTCCAAGGGAGACAGTCGAAGTCTCCCAACTGAAAGTTTGCGGACGCCATCATGGTTTGATTGACAGTTATGAAATATAAGTTTTCACAGATTATCACAGATATCTTCCATATGTCTTACCCCAAATCCAGTCCTCTTATCCTTGATTGTGACTTACAGAATGCGACTTAACAATGAGTCTAATCTACATTTCCAACATGACGGTTGCTTTGTGTGGAGCAGAAAATGTTTACCCTTCCGGGAAATATTGGGTTCATCTCGGTTTTTGGTGGGGTTCGTATTGTACAATCTTTGGTATTCTGTGTAATGGTTTATTATTGTTTGTCTTTTCGTCGTTTTTATTTCAGCCTTTCTATTGTCTGTCTGTCTATTTGATTGTCCGTTTGGTACCTGTCTATCTTTTCACTTACAAAAGTCAATGCTATAAGGTTTTTTTTTCTCGAGAAATCATAATTTGAAACTCATTATCATATCTTATATGCGAAATCTAAAACTGAAATATTTTCATATTATTATTGACTTTTGACTTAAGTCAGTTCCAAGTCAATATATTAAAAAAAATGTGGTATGATTGCTTATGAGACAACTGTCCATTAAAGTTCAAATGACGAATGCAAAAGCAGTTATAGTTCACTGTACGGCCTTCAACAATAAGAAAAAACGTATACCAAATAGTCGGCTAAAAGAGGTCTCGACATGGAAATATTTTCAGCTAAGATATGGTACAAAATGTGTTGTCTGCAAGGAAACGAACTTTATCATGATAATTTAACGTAACCACTTAAAGGTGAAAAGGGTCGTTGTGAAAAATTTTAACGTCGTAGCCCCAGATCAGTAATTCTAAGAAATCGAACAACCATTTTACAGATGAAGTATTTTCGACATACACAGACGTGAAGACCAATTGTGATACGGAACACCTGATTTCACTCTCGGGTTTTTGTGAGGTTCGTGTTGCTCAGTCTTCAGTTTTTCTATGTGATGTTAAGCTCTTGCTGTTTGTCCTGTCGTCGTTTTTTTTTTAATTATGATTTTTAGATGCCTGCTAGGTATCTTCTTTCTCTCTTTCAATCTTTACTTAACTCTATCGTCTAGGACGATACAGAAAGATGTCATCATCCGATAGCCGCCGATTATTTATACAGTCTTACATATACAATTTGTTGGTCTTTTTCTTTTTTAGCCATGGCGTTGTCAGTTTATTTTTGACTTGTGAGTTTGAATGTCGTTTTAGTATCCTTTGCCTCTCTTTTCGAAATGTTGTTTAGTTAACCATTAGTAAACACATTATATAACGAATTATCTATCTTGTTGACCTTATAATTTAAGGTATTTGACATTCATTGCGTTAGATGTCAAAAATACAGAACTCCAAGAAAATTCAAAACGGAAAGTCCTTTATCAAATGGCAAAATCAAAATGCCAAACCTTCCTTTTCGATATGGTTTATCAATAAGAAAAAACAACGTAATAAATATCATAGATATGAACCATTTAAATATGGAATAGATATATAATGTTTTTCAATTAGCTTCAGAACTTTCTTTTCTAAATTTTAAAGCTTTCAAGCTGTGTCTACCATTTTAGACAACGTAGTCCATTCTTGCTGGATTAATGAGGGGTTGATGTTGTTCAATCGCAAAGCCTGTATTAGCCTATTGTTTGTTTTTGTGTCGTTTTCACTAGGCCATAATGCTTACTGTCCGTCTGCCACTAATGCATTTCGATTGGTTTTTTGTTATTACTTTTGTATTTTTGAAATACTTGAACACCAACCGTTTATGTTTGGCTTTCAAATATTTGATGACGAAAACGTATCTCTGAGGAGAAATAAAATTTTGATAAACGCTATCAATTCTGTGTATACTTATTTCTGATTTCATAGTTTTTCAGTAGTATTACTAAATGGTCGTTAGCAATTCAATCGGCCATTTGGCAACGCTAATGTATTTACGTTAACATAACCTTGTCGCTTTGATAATTCCTTTTTTCGTAATTATTCATTGGTCATTTACAAATTACTGACGTGGTTTGAAACGATCTTCAGCAGATTATATTTACAACAAAATTATAACAATCGATTTTTCCATTCATTTACTTCCAAGTATGCAGCTGGCATATTTTCTAAAGAGAATGCTTTATTCCACAATGATTAGGACCATTAAGTATACTTAAATTTTGTCCTTGATATCTAAATGACGTATTTGATGAAAAGTATATCAACATTAAAAACTAAAGGACAAAGAGTCATATCTTTCTTACGCTTTGACAACTAATTATTCAACATCCAAAATTTCTTCCATTTACGAAGAAAAATAATGTTTACTTAAGGCCAATACACTGTGCCACGGAATGCGACAATCAAAATACTATAATTCCCTTTTT